CAATATGGATATAATATTACTAACTGAAACCCGCAGTTTGCATCAGAGTTCACTCTGTGTTGTACAGTGGGTTCTGTTCTGTTGACAATTCTGTAATGTCAACTGAGTGTTCTAGAATTCAATTTAATTTTGATACTGACTACTCAAAATTCACATCAGCTGTCCACCTGGTAAAGATCTCCAATAAAAATAAAATTGTCCTAAGTTCCTCATGTTGCCCACACAGCTGTCTAACTAGGCTGCAAATCTGAAGGTCCTCACACCGTGCTTCAGGTTCAATTACTAGCCAGGATGACTCACAGAACTCACTGAGAGAACTATACTTATGAATACATTTTATTATAAAGGATACAGCTGAACAGATGAACAGATACATAGGGTAAGGTCTAGAAGGGTCCCAAGGGCAAGAGCCTTTAACCTCAAGAACTCTCTTGAGATGTCAGTGATTGTGGGTAGAATTTCCAGCCCTAACCACATGCTTGGTTTTTCTGGTGACTAATTCCAGCCTGAAGCTATTTAGAGCCCCTGGGCCCAATTCTGTTGCTTTCATTAGGATAATAAAGACATCCTTATCATTCAAGAACTTACCTCCAAGGGTTTTTGAAAACGTGTGCTAGGAACTAGGGCCAAAGAATGCATAGATGCATACACACATATACATATATATTATATATATATACACATCATATATACACTCACATACATGCACACACATAAAGTACCACATATTATCCTATGTTTTTTGACAAATGGCTACATCATGTAGCTGCCATTATAGTAGCACACAAGTAGCTAAATATCTCCTGATTCCCATGTGTAACCTCCACTTCTTCCTCAACCCTTGGAAACCCCTGATCATCTTACTGTCTATAATTTTGGATTTTTTTTTGAATTTAATATTGTTAGAATCATACAGTATGCAGTTGTTTTAGGTTGCCTTCTAAAATATATTTAAGAGTATTTTTAAAAAATAAGGTCTTACTACATAGCCCAGGCTAGCCTCAAACTTTTAGTCTTCCTATATTTGTCTTCTGAGTGCTGGCTTTGCAGATAGGTACCACCACACCGGCTTCTCTTACATTTTTTGAGACTGAACAGCTCATTGTGTGTGTGTGTGTGTGTGTGTGTGTGTGTGTTCGTGTGTGCATGTATGTGTGTGTGCATGTTGTGTACATTCATGTGAAGTCCAGAGGTCAACTTCGGGTATTGTTTTTGAGACAGAGTCTCTCAGTGCCTGGAGTTTGCTAATTGGCCTAGGCAGGCTGGCCAGTGATCCCCAGGGATCTCTGCATGCCTGGCACTGAGATTACAAGAGTGTACTACCACACATGGCTTTTCATGTGTGTTCTGAGGATAGGACTCAGGTTTTCAGGCTGGCAAGGCAGGTGCTTTATGGACCAAGCCATCTTCCCAGCTCATTTAAAAAAAATTATAAATACCATTTATTTCTCTATTTACCTATTGAAGAACACTGTGGGTGCCAGTTTCGGCAATTTTGGATAAGGTTGCAACAAATATTCATGTGCAGCCCCCCCCCGCCCACCAATGGGCATAAGTTTTCAGCTAATCTGAGTGAGTGCCAAGAAGCATGATTACTGATTCATCTGACAAAATTATATTTAGATTTTTAAGAAACTTCTAATTTGTTGTCTGTGGCTTTTACTATGCCACATTATACTTATGCCTTAAGGAAAAAAACAGTCTGACTTTTGGCATTCATTTTAAGGTCAAGAGCAGACCCAAACTGCTGAGAATCTGTTATTCCAGATTTCTCTCAGAACTGTGCTCTTGAGCAAGGGCTTCACTCATTCTTTATTGAAAAGTATGAAATCGGGAAGTAGAAATCAGACCCACCTTTGTCTTATCTGTGAAGAATTTTCCCTTTGATCCCTAGACCTAGAATACCACACACAACTACAGACAGTTCTCAATTTCTCTAATTGCTTGCAATGTGAAAAGCAGTTTGCAATACTTTGATGCTTTGAAATGCAAAAGATGTATATGCACATTCATACACTGCCTTGATTGGAGGGCAAGGAAGAGTCCACGGGATTAAAGTCTTAAATCCAGGACACAAAAGAAGCACATGGCACAGTGAGCTTGTTTATAATACAAACAGTGACATTTTGGTTGCAAGGTTAGGTAAAAGTCATTAGTTCAGAGTATGTCCATACTGTAGAAGTCATCCCCACAGTGGCTAAGCTCTTCTGCATTCCTACCAGCAGCAAATGAGAATTCCTACATTCTAGTTGGCATTTGGTATGATCAGTGCTTTGAATTTTAGTCATGCTAGTAAGTGTGTATTGTGATCTCATTTTTAAAATGTGCAGTTCCCCATGTTATATGATTCTGAACTTTTTGTTACAGAATAATCAGCGACCAACAGCCAAAGTCAGGTGAGGAGAGGGAGTTTATGTTATGCTAGGGTCTGACCCATGGGTCCTTCTGTAAAGGAGTCAGCCCCTTGTTCAAGTTTGGAGGGTTTTTATGCTCATATGTGAGGAATGCAAGCAAAAGGTACCTAACATATACATAGTAAGTAAGATAACAGAGGGCTGCAATGGTAACAAAAATGCAAAGGTTACAGGAATGTGATAGCTTTGGAAAACAGACTTCTATCCTGGATAACCACAGGGAGTAGGGGAAGATTCCTGTTCACTTCCCCATTCCTATCTCCAGGCTCCAGAGTTCTTAATTACCATCACATATCAATAGCTTTTAGCATCTGATAAGCTGTTCTATTTCCATAATATTTTCATACATTTATTTATTATCTATATTTTATTTGGTGAGATGTCTGTTCAGAACTTTTGCCTGATTTTCAATGACTTATTGTTGAGGTTTAAGTGTTAGATGTATTTTTTTGAATATAAATCTTTTATTAGATTTTTTTTTTTACAATTTTGTCTTCTTGATCTGCACTGTCTTCTATTCACATTGTCTTTCACAGAGCAAAAGTTTTTAAATTTAATGAAGTCCAGCTTGTAGATTTTTTTTGTGAGGACATGTGCTTTTATTGTTGCATCTAAAAGCTTTCCAATTTTCCCCTATATTATCTTCTAGCAGTTTTACAGTTTTGCATTTTTAATTCAGAGGTATAATCCATCTCAAGGTAATTTTTATAAAGGAACTGTCTTTATAAAGTCCCTGATTAAGTTCATTATTTTTAGGTGTGGAGATCTGTTTGTTCCCACACTTTGTTAAGAAGGCACTACCTCCCTCTCCCCTCTCCCCTCTCCTCCCCTCTCCCTTCTCTTTTCCTTCCTCCACATTCTTCCTCCCCTACAGCCAAAGTAAATCATTCCTGCCAGACTCTCCTCTCCTTTCTTCCCCTTTGTGATGCTGGGGTTTGGGACAAGCTCATGGCTTTCTGCTTGCTAAGCAAATACTCTACCAGAGCCACATCCTAGCTGAGAAGATTTTCATTTCTCTTTTGACTAACTCTATTTCTTTATCAAGGATTCATTGAATGCATTTGTTGGTTCTATTTATGTGCTTCATATTGTTTCCCTGTGATGTATATGCCTATTGTCAAAACCATTCTTTCTTGGTTATTCTAATTTCAAAGAATGCTTTGTTGAGTACTTACCTCTGTGAACAGAATGTTGTGTTTCTAAGTTCTTATGCTGAAGCCATTCTGCAGTGTGATTCTTAGGCTCTCCTCCCTTCTCCTCTCCTCTCTTTCTCTCCCCTTCTCTTTCAGATATAAGGGAAGATGGCTATCTGAAACTAGGAAGAGGGACATTGGACCCCAGAGCTGGCACCTTAATCGTAAACTTCCCTGTTTCCAGAACCCTGAGTGATAAATGTTTGTTGTTCAAGCCACTTAGTCTTTGGTAAGTCATTCTGGTAGCCAGAGTAAAACCGCTAGGCTTTATACTTTGTCTTCATGTTGCTTTTTAAGAAGCTTATTTCTCTCAGTCTCTGTCTGTGTGTCTCTGTCTCTGTCTCTCTGTCTCTCTCTCTCTCTTCTCACTCTCTGTGTATATGCGTGCAGGCATCCTTGTGCCATCACACAGTGGTAGAGGGTGGAGGACAACTTTCTGAAGTTGGTTCTCTCCTTCCACCATGGCTTCTAGAGACTGAACTCAGAAAACAAACCACCTTTCATACATTAATCATATATTCTGCAACCTTGCTACAACTGTTTATTAGTTTTTTGTTTTGTTAATTCCTGGGAAATTTCTACATAGATAACCATGCCATGTAAAGAACAGAAGACCTAGTTTTTTTTTTTTTTTAATCGCGGAGTTTTTTTTTTTTTTTACATGTGTGTTTCACCAGCTAAATCAACTTCCCGAGAGTCGTTTTGGTTCTATTTATTGTGTGTTTTATGTTTATTGTTCTAGTAGATACCAGAAATTAAGTTTTATGTTATTGCAGCACTAAGTAATTTAAGTGGGCCTACGCTGCTTGTGTGCTCTTTTGTCATGGTTCCATCGTATTCTTTGCCTAGGAATAGTGTCAGGTAACAGTTTCTTTGTAATGGAAGGCTGTATGGTTTATAGATTAAAGACCAAATAAGAGCAGCTTTAGTTCTTTGTAGCAGCGCCGACAGGCACATTATCAGCTCTCAGAGGCATAGTGTGCTTTTAGATTAGGATACGTCTATAATGCTTTGTGCAATCCAGAAATAATCCTCAACAGCCGATGAGCATTAGCTCATGTGAACAAAGAGTAAAAAAAAGCCAAGGGGAAAAATCGCAAAAGAATGGGGCAGGAACAGAGAAGGGTAGTGGGTGAACGCTTTGAGCGGGCGGGGAAAAGCAGGCGGGGAAGCGGAGACCGAGGGCGGGCGCGGAAATCTGGAGCTCTTTGTTTCGTGCGGAAGGCGACGGGAAGCCCAGAGCGAGGCCAGAGCAGCCCCTGGGCCCGGATCACAGGGCGCGCGAGCAGGAAGGAGGTAGCTCGGCACCCGGACCCCGCAGACTCGACAGCTCCATCCCGACCGGCGCGTTGTCATAGGAACTGCCTGGCCGCGCGCCTGCGCGGGCGGAAGGCGGGGGCGGCGCGGTGACGCGGGCGGGCGGGGCTGGAGCGCGGCGCTGGGTTCTGCTCCGGGTCTCCGAAGTCGGCTCGGCTACAGCAACCGGGAGGCGGCGGGGACGTGCGGCCCAGGTGAGCGCTGCGGGGAGACGGGCCCCACGCGGAGGGCGGGCGCTGCGAACGCTAACGGGAGCCGGACAGCGGTTCCGGGCGCTGCTCGGGCTCGGCATCCCTCGCGGGACGGGACGGGGGCGTCGCCGCGCGGAGAGGGCGGCCGGGTGGGGAAGCGGCGGACCCTGCGCTCGTCCTGCCGGCCGGGCGGGCGGCGGCGCAGCTGGCGGCGGGACTCCCGCGGGCGCGGAGGGACATCGCGGTGCTCTAGGACTGTCCCCGGGGCGGGTGACTCAGCTCTCCTTCAGGATTTCCTTCCAGTGAACGACGGGAGGCGTCTGGTGGGGGAAAGTTTCAGTTTCACTGGGTGGAGTGTGGAACCGGGAGCATCTGTGGGTGCAGATCCATAGAACGTCGTCCCATTAGGTCCCTGCTTAGAATGTATACTGTCTGGAATTTCTAACATCCACTCCTTACAGACAGAACTGAGCAAAAGCAAAAGTTAGACTGAAAATAACTGCTGGCCTGCCAAATTAGCTTGCCTTTAATTGTAAAGGTGAACCGTCAAAACAGATTTGTATAAGCGTTTTCCGATTTAAGGCTGAGAACAAACAGTAAAAATGTGGTTTTCCAGTCTCTTAGCGAATTAGTTCCTTAAAATTCTATGCCTACGTGGTACATAAATATTACAGAGCAAGTGGTTTGTGCCACAGAATAAGGAAGTGGAATGACTAAGAGGTTCAGTAAATAATCATTCCATTATAATCTAAATTTAACTTTGGAAACAAGTTTTAGTTATGTGTTGGAAGCCAGAAGAGAGCATTTAAAAATCACAAAGACTGGGCTGATTAACAAATGCACGTTCTAATTAAACAGTTGCTTAAAATGAGCATGACTTACCTACTTTTTTTTTTTGCCAGATTTGGGCACTTTCTTTTTAGATAGTATATGCACAGAGATTCTAAAAAAAGACTCCCACACATTTAAATCCCTTCATCATCTAGTAATAGTTATATTGGTATTTATTAATTTATTTAAAGTGTTACTTGCCAGCACTTTCAGTAAGTTTATCTAGTTTTTAAGGTTGTAAGCAGACATATGGCTGAAAATTTAAGCAGTTAAAACGTGTAGAGTAGAAAATCCTCCATATGCTTGGTACCATATAGTCTTCAGTTGTGCCCTCTAACCAACTGTATCTCCTTTGGTGGGCAGCCAGTTGTTTTAAGGGTCTCAGGTACTCAGGGATATTTTATATCTATATGAGCAGATACGTAAATATATTTTCCTTCTTTTAACAACAGTGCTAATGTGTAATATTCTGTTCTAGAACTTAAACATGCTTTTATTTTTCCAGTTAGTGATATGGAACCCTTTCAATAAACTTTGTTCTTGAAGTCTTTGGCTGTGTCCTAGTGAATAAACTAGTGCATGTGGATCTTTCTCTGCAGTTACGTATGTCAGCTGAAGACCTGAAATGCTCTCATTTGGTCTGAATTTATAATTGTAGCAGATACATAAGTTCTAGTTAACATTCCTAATATTAATACATGACTTGCTCAAAGCTTCTATAAAAACTGAGAGCCCGTGTTACCAATTATTACATTTTTGCTAGACTTTTTTGAAGATTTAAAAAAAAATATATGTATGTTTGTGTCTTTGTGTGGGTATATGCAAATGTATGCAGGTGCTCATGGAGGCCAGAGGGTTAGATTTCCCTAGAGCTGAAGTTAAGGGTGGTTGTGAGCTGCCCAATGTGGGTACAGAAGTAGGGTCCTCTGCAAGAGCAGTAGATGCTCTTAACCACTGAGCAGTCTCTCCAGCCCCCACTTTTGACAGTTTTAATAGCTGAGATAGAATTTTTTGGATAAGAAGTAATTATCCTACTTGGAGTAGACTTCATATTGTAGACTTCTTATCATTAGGCTACAGACCCCCTTGTTGTGTTTTCTCTACCCCTCCCCATCAGGCCACACCCTGCTGCAGTTTCCTGGGACAGAGTGGATAAGATACAGAGGCTGTAGCTGTGCAACCCCTCCTTTCCCATTGGAGCTGTCAGCAGTACCACGACCCTTGATACCCAGACCCAAGACAATCTTGAATTATATTTTTACCACCTTCTTACCTAGTGTCACCTGTTAGGTCATGTGGTATGAACCGTTCTACGCCTCTAAACTATAAAAGGCAAAAACTCCCATTGTGTTTCAAAGGTGAAGGCTCTCCTCCAAGATCCCTGTCACGCATTCTGTCTGTGATGGCTGTGATTCGTCTTAGCCTCATTTCTACTGAGCCCTATTAATAGCACATATGGACATAGTTCTTAACGGCTGATCATCAGAATCTTCTTTAATAGTTGTTAAAAAGAGCAGTTTTAAGTTCTTCCATGGAATTTGTGTTAGTCTAGGGAACTATTTTTATCTAGTACCTCAGGTAATTCTGAGCTGATGATAAACCAGAGGTGGGGAAACTACTCAGGAAGACTATTTAGAAGTTTATCCCATTGTGTTCCTTGACAACCATGTACAGCCTTGACAACCATGTACAGCCACCTGGGATGGTTATTAGCCCTCAGTATACTAGAAACCGAGGTTGTTATTGTTTTATCATGCAATCCAACAAGAGCTTTATATTATTTACATTTTTAGATTACTTATGAATAATTTTCAGATGTGAAAAGAGGTGGTGGAAAAACAAGTTTACTGAGAAATTTGAGAATAATTTCAATACAAGAAACCCAAACTATTCCAAATTCTCCAGTGTTTGAAGGTCTGCCTAGCTAGAATAGCCCCATATTTGAATTAGGTCATTTATCAACCAGAGTGTGCGACCCTATCTTTTAACAGGTGTGAAGATTTCAAGTACATTTATGTTCTTGCATAACAAATTGCTTTTAGTTTTTCTTACAACTGGGTCATCAAAACATAATACTGATCCAGGTATCAAATACAGATTCTGTAATTACTATTTCCATGATCAAAATGCATTTAAAAACTAAAGTGACTTCTGATTTTGGTGAGGGGGAAACATTTTTTGCTCCATATTTGAAGATAATTTTCATTTAGGTTTATAAACACCAATTAGAATAATCAGTGCAATTAAAAATACGTATAACTGTTTCCTTCCAGTCATTAAAAAAAAAATATTTACTTGTCTACAGTTGGCCTTTACAAACTGCAGAATACATCTCGGTGTACAAATACAAGAGAGGAAAGAAAAGTTTAATGCCCTCTTAGCAAAACAGGGTGGGCCAGTACTTTTCTAAAAATATTGCATAATAAAGTTCTTCCTGTTGATTGAATGAGTGGAAAAGTAATATTTCTCCATAATTAGAAATGTGCTGTTTTTTCACTGGTTCTTTTGAAGAGTTTGTTAGGATATTATGTAAAAACTCATAGTCTGAAATTTTGCTTACATGTTTGTTTTTTAAAATATTTATTTTATTTATTTTTTAGCCTTTTGCATGAGTTGGTTTAATTCAAGATGATACAGAATTCGAACTACAATTAAGATGAAACAACAGGCTCTGGCAAAAAAAAAATTATTTTATGTGTAAGTGTATTTCCTGCATGTATGTAAGTGCACCTGTTTTGTGCAATGCCCACGAAAGTCAGAAGAAGGCATTGGACTCTCCAGAACCCGGAGTTGTTAGCTACCATGTGGGTGCTGGGAATTGAACCCGGGTCCTCTGCAAGAGCAGCCAGTGCTCTTAATGCTGAGCCATCTCTCCAGCCCTGTTTTCCTTATTTTAACAATCTAGAATTCACTGGCTGTTCTTTTTATACACATCTCCCTCCACTAGTTTCTTCTCTTTGCCACTGTGGGTAGAAGAAGAATAATTCTAGATTTTCTATGTTCAGTGATGGCTTCAAAAAAAAAAAAAATTAAGAAAAGGTGTCTGTAGACTTGATGCCTTCTAGAAAGGATGTTTACTTCAGACAGTACAAAGTGAATGTGATGTTTTATTTCACTGTTGCTTTATCACTCTAAGCCATTCTATTATTTTTGAGGGATGTCTTAGTTTTTTCTTTTAAGCATAGTTTGGAATTCACCCAAATCCAGTAATGTACCTTAGATTCATAAAATGTTCTAGTGAGCCTGCATATTGTAAAATAGAACTGTTCCCATACACAACTCAAAAATGAGAATTGGGCCCATTGGATGTGGATGGTATACAAAGAATTGAACAAATTCCTGGCCTCTACTCTCAGCCTACTGATTCTACTTTGGTCCTACAGTTTTAATTCCTGTGAGTAGGACTCAAGAATGGCTTAGTAACAGGATTTCAGGCTGGAGAGATGGCTTAGTGGTTAAGAGCACCGATTGCTCCTGTAGAGGACCTGGGTTTGATTTCTAGCACCCACATAGCGACTAAGGACTGTCTGTAACTCCAGTTCCAGGGAATCTGGCCCCTTCTTCTGACCTCCAAGGGCATTGCACGGCACTTATACATCCAGGCAATATGCTCATACACATAAAATTTAAAAAAAATAAATAAAAAAGTAGTAAAAAGAATAACAGTGTTTGCAGGTTACTCTTCGGCCTTTAAGGTCGATTTATTTTTCTTAGACCCTTAAGTTCATCCTCTGCTAGAATGTGGTGCTCAGGCACTGCTTCGTGCATTTCAGTTGTTGCCTTGCCAGTGTAAAAGGTTTCGTTACAGGAATTGAAGCTAATTAAGTTACTTTATTTAATAAGAAAATAGTTTGAGGTGCTGCGTCACTTGGAAATTTTTTAGGAGGGTAGACTTCAAACCTTGTTAATAGAATTAGAGGAAAATAGCTTGTAGTGGTAGATAGTTGAAGAACAGATAGATCCCACACTTGCTTCATTGAGGAAGAAACTTGTCCTTGATGAAATGCATCATAAATTGATCTGAGACCCTGGAAAACAACCTAAGCTGACAGTAGCTGTGGGACTAGGACTCTGATGTCTGATGAAGCTTGCTGCTGTCTTACTGTTATTGACAACAGTAATGTGTAGTCCTGAATTTTCATCATCCCAAGATGTTTTAAAATAGCTCAGAC